TGAATGAAGCTTGAAGTGATTGGTAAATATTTGTCAGATGACTTGACCGACAAAAGGATCGGATAAGCCAGGCTATGGCTAGTTCAATATGAATAAATAATAAATATAATTGACTCAAATTTAATCTTACTTGCGAAGAGGTTTGGCTGGGCTTTAGCCCCACGCTCCCGCCCGTGGTCGCCGGGTGAGCCCGAACGACCCAAACAGAGCCAGAGCTCAATCGAAGGGAGAACGGCGGGCGAGGAGAACCCAAACAGAGCTTGGCTCTGAATAAACTCCAAGAAATAAAATGGATTGCGTATGTAAGTAAAGTAAAAGTAATTTAATCCCGTTGATACAGGCATCGATGAGGGAGTTAGGAATGCCGTTTGCTTTCTGTTTATCATCTAGAGTATGTTTGAGTCTGGATATCTAGAAGAATTATGCGCTTTGAGAATGTGAGTGGGTAGAATATCATTGAATCGGCGCCAGAGTAGGAAAGCAAGGCTACTACTTCTGGAGTGACGCCGGCTAGTAAAAGTTCGACTGCGCCACCAATGCGAAAACTATGGCTGTGGACGTGTTCAAGACCTGCAAACTTCCGGATCCGGTCACAAAATGTGAGGAAAACGGATTTGACCGTATGCTGGGGTGTACCCTGGTCATCAAGATATGCAAATAGAAAAAGGGATGGAGGCGTTGGCGACCATATGGCGTTCGATGGCGAGGGAAAGGCATAGGATTTGCAGTGAGTGATACTGTGCCGTACCGACCACGGAAGCTCTGAGCTCCTTTGTGGTTTAGGTCCAAGGTATTTTGAATGAGACAGCTTTGCGGGAGCGATCAGGATTTGTGGTAAAAGAGCTGGTGGTGGTGCGGGATGCATGGTATTTGGAATTGAATCCACTTTTTGACAGTATAGTTAGTTCTCCTAGATGGCGACAGCCCCAGAAAGGGATTGAAGCAACCGCCCAGATGGCGCAGTGAAAGGGAATATTGAAATCGAGTGCGATGTATAGCGCCAGCGTGTGTGCGAGGGTAATGGGAGCTTGGGGTGTTTCAGATTAGCCCCAGCAGTATGTACACCAGCGTGGGCAAAATGGATTAGACATGAATTGGCTGCCAGGGTGCACCTGCCAGTTTGTGCCAAGCTCACAAGCCTGATAACCAGTTCTTGATACAAGAACCTGAGACTTTACCCTTATGAAAGCCAATGAAACCAATAATGATGGTTTCGTTGGTGGGCATACGGAGACTTTCGGGAATGGACATTTCATCACGGAATCGGTTCCAGCGTAAGGGCCGGCTCCATATTAGGAACAGGTCAAGACCAATTGCAATTGGTCTAGAAACGTTTACGGAGGTGTGAATGGCTTATGCGGAGGAAAGAAGAAGGAGGGGTGGATTTGGGAGTGTGATTTGAGCAAGTAGAGTAGCGGTTGCAGAGAGAGAATGTTCTGTGGGAATTTTGAGCCACCAACAGGCATGGAACGCTGGTGTTCGCGACTGAATTGAAGTGGGAGACGATCCTCCTGGGGACCCAAGGTTCCATGCAGAGTTGGGTCAGCAGGATTTGTGGACTCAATGTATGGGTTGAATGTAAAGAGGGCCAATGACCCCACAGATTCGATGAACAGACATATTGATCCAGTAGTTTGGACTGCAGGACTTTCTCATGGCACCAATAGTGCCTTGGTTGTCTGAATGGGTAAGAAGGCGAATGTGGAAATAAACGAGAATCTCAATTGTGACTGTTTCAAGCCAGCATATATTGCGGGCTTCAATTTTCCAGTCGTAGGTGCAGTGAAAAGTAGCCCATTTACCTCCAAAATGATGCCAATGTTCCAGTCAGTGGAGGCGTCCACCGGAATCCTGGAGAGGACCCAATTTGCGTGGTTGGCAAAAGAAATTGGGATCTTGGAGATGCCGGATCCAACATATGATTTTGGGGATGATCTGATGAAGTCTTGCAGTCGGTGGAGGTACTTCAGCCACTTCTCCTTGAGAAGAGTGACACATTTTTTCTTCAAGTCCTAGAGAAAGGCAATGAAGGTGAAAATGAAGACAAAGTGTCGCTTGACCTTGCCTGGGTGCCAGGGGAATCCTAGCTCGGAAATGAGAGTGAATAAATCATCACAGTCGGAGTAGTTGTAAGATCCCAAGGTATTGAGTGAGACAAAGACAGCGGGATCGTCTTCTATCTTCGTAATGGGTGCTATCCCGAGCAACCGCCAGATGTCGCAACCTGCACCTGAAACCATACCAGAATTAGAACTGGCAGAGGCAGCGCCAAAAGCGTAGCAATGTTCCACCCAAAATCTCCCATTAGGATCGCAGACTGCCATATACAGTTTATCCTGGGGACGCAGAGGGATGGTGTGGTGGAATTTTGAGATATCCATAGTATAGACTTTAGTGCCTGGAGGTGCAGAAACAACCTGCACGATTAGTAAGAAAGCGAGTTTGAATAGTGAATGAAATGGCGAATAAGAATTGGGAAATAACCCGCAAATAATAACAAGTATAGGGCAGATAGCCCAGCAAATAACAGGTAAGAAACCCAGTGAATAATAGGGTAGGAGAACCCTTGGCGAATAGATTGAGATTGGGATAGGGAGACTGACCAAATTGCTGTATAAACAGCAGAGTCAAACAAAGTTGGAAAAGGATGCACGAGTTGACACAGGGAACAGAATTGCCCAAGGAGTCACAACCATCTTTAGAGAGATTATGGCAGACGTGATATTTAGCAGGTTTGTCGGGACCTTGGGTTTGTTTGACTAAGTAGTCCCAGACAACGTTCGGATGCCTGTGGACCAAGGAATGGTTCAGAATGATTATAGATTCATGTAAGATGGGCATGTTGCCAAGAGGGAACCCCATGGTTAGGTATTCAACAAGAAATTGGTAGCGGTCCCAGAGATTGCACCTGGCCAGTTCGAGGGTGAAAGCAGATGCATTGTACGGCATTGTGATGCGGTCATTGGAGGAGTGTTGGGAATGGGAAAGCGATGCATCTTCGTCGGTGAGAATCGTGCAAAGCAAGAACAGGAGTGAGAAGATTGGATGCAAATGGATTAGTGACCTGCAGGATGTGAGATGCAACAGCTGGCATCCCATCTAAGTGCAGGGTGTGGTCCACTGCAGAAAGTGCAGATGTAGCTGGCACTAGAACACTTGTTGGTGCAGGAGGAGGAGATTTTCCAGTAGGTGCAGATGCGCACCTTGCTGGTAGGGTGCAGGAGTTCCTTCCCATCCCAGACAGCCCACTTGGCCATGGGTGGAGTCATTGTGCATAAAGAAGGTATGACCAATGCCTCCACAGATGACGCAACAAGGATCGCGGGAGGCTTTATCCTTGTTGCCAATTGGAAAGGAATTCGAAGATGTGGTAGGAGGAGCGTTGTGTATAGATTTGGCCCCTTTGGGTTCAAGAAGTGGGAGCGACAAGTAGAAGAGGAAGGTTGAGCAGAGCTGTTTGCTGAGGAAGCTTCGAGGGCATCGAGACATGATTTAACGCAACCTTTAACGCAAGGTTCTGCAGTCAATAAGTCGAATGTGGTTTCCTTGTTACGATGCTCCTGTTGAAGCTCAAGCTCAATATCCTCCACAGATTGTACAACTTGACTAAGTCAGGTAGGTTCTGGAAGAAGCCAAAATGCTCCTTGTAGAACTGCGGTTCATTGGCCTCGTCGCCTTCCACATATAGCGACAATTGGTCCTCCGTTGTGGCTATCCTTAACATTCTTAATAACACCAGCAAGATCCAGAATCTGTGGTTTTCTTTTGATGTGCGAGATTTTGGTGCGATGGGATAAAATGGAATTGTTGTTCGGGAATTCAACGTTGTTGTTGGTGAACAAGGCAAGATGGATGTGGTAACAATAGAGGCTGAGGTCGAGGAAGGCTTGGTCGAAGAAAACATTTGGAGGTACGGTTGGATCGAAGTCATTGAGCTCCTTGTTGGCCCTGAAACTCTTGGAGGGCTGGGTAGTACTGGAAGCCTCGGGATACGCGTCATCTTCTTCCCTAGGTCTCGATCTCAATGATTTTCGTTTATCGGCAAACCAACTGAGTGTGTGAGCAGAGAGCCAGGATTTCACTCTGTCAAAGTAAAGCTGATCCCTCATCATCTTTTCGTATTCCTCCTCTGGAATGGGAATGTACGAAGAGGCTTCTGAGACATTGTCGTCACCATTGACAACACACTTGCGGCTGTGTGGCATTGCGAGGCTGTTTGTCAAAGTTCATTTTGAGCTTTGAGTCGATGGGAAGTTTTTTGATGTGAGTGGCTGATTCTAAGGAAGGTTTGTTGGAAGAGGACCTTTACAAATGACAGCCATATTAGATTGGAACGGGAGGACGGAAATACACAAAGAATAAACAATAATTGCTATGAATTCAACGGCAGTGAGAGTCGAGAGTAACAAACTAATAGGCGACCAAACTGGCACTGGCTGACTCACACTGCCTGGCTGGCTTATCTCGGATCAAGTGTTTCTTCTTCTTGCATCCATCCCTCGGTCAACAATAATCAGCAAATTGTCACAATCCATCTAAATACAATCGTTTTTGACCAGGCTGGAATTCATGCTAGAAACCAAATTTTTTAAGTTTCTTGACCAGAGAAATGAGTAGGGACTAGATCAGGGTCGACTTCAAGTTGTACCACGATAAAACCTTGATCTCCACGTGCGCGCGACAATGCATGGTGTTCGGACTTGACTTTCTTGATAAGATGTTTGGCAGCAAGCCATAATGTGGGTCTCGGAGCATTGCCTGCAGTATGTACCTCAGTTGCGGATTCACAAACAAAACACTAATAGTATTTTTCACCAAGTCATTAGGATTTTCAGAATTGAGTTGGACTCAAGTGAAAGATGAATCTTTCAGTTGGTAGATGGCACTGGTTGAAATGCATGATGATTGAGCTTTCTGAATAGTGGGACTACTGCAAGTTTGGGGAAGAGCAAGTGATACACTGGATGATAATTGAGTAATCCATGTTGGGTTCTAAACATGCATTAATGGGGTAGTGGTAACCTGGGTCGTTGCCATAAGTGATAAGTAAGGGAAATATGGCCGTTTCGACCCGCCGGGGGTTCGATTCCCTCTTAATGCATTATACACAGTGGTGTCTGTTGGCGCTTGATTATTTTCTTCTTTTTCTCGACGATCTGAACATCCTACTCTTACTGTAATGAACTGTTACTTGAAGTCTACTTTCCTGCGCTGTGCAGCCATTCCTCAAAAATTCACACTGTATAAAGTTAAGATTAATAGTAACAATGTCCCAACTTACTCAGATAAATCAACTCCCGAATTGAGTTGTTTCTCAGTCCAAGGATTATCGCAAAAAGCATGTTATTCATCATTTGTTAAATTACAATAATACAGATACAATTATTGCTTTGGATATAACACCGTAAATGAAAATGTGATTGCAGGAATTCATAAATTCGTGAGGTGTGACCATCGCTGTCATTGCGAAGCCTGAGATGCAGAGATCAACGTAGCCGTCTACTTGTTCAGGCCAAGAGTGTTCTTGGTCTTGTCAAGTAACGATTCCTGAAGAGAAAAGAGGAAGAATCAGTATGAAGAACAGCGATAACGATAGCAAAGGAAGTAGTAAACTCACATTGTTCTCATTCTGGTTGCCGCTAACGGTATCACCCATCTTCTGAGTGGTGGATTTCTCGCTCTATAATGGAGAGATATGTTTAGGAGAACGGAAAGTAACAACAACGCGGAGAACATACCTGAGGCTGAACAGTTGAAGCAGCGCTGTCGGCAGTTCCCTTGAACTTGTCGCCCATGTGCTCGGTGGTGCTCTTCTCAGAGTCGGGCTTGACAGCAGCGCCGACCTTATCCTAAAAGCAATGAGGTTAGTTACTGTGGTAATCGAAGTAGGAAGCAGACACGAACAGTGAAACCTTGACGAGCGTTGTCGGACATGGTGATTATAGATGGGTTATTGGTTGTAATGTGTTTAAAAGGTGTAGTTGTGAGTTTAGTGAGAAAGCAAAGGCGAAGATGTAGAGCCTTTTATACCCTTTCAGTGTCGTTCTCAGGACGGGTCCATTTACTGACGTAGGTCTTGACGCGATTCAGGAGGAGGTATGACGCTCACGTGCGGAGCAAACCCGGATGATTTGATGCTCAGTGCTGCGCAGCACGCTAGACCTATAGAACACGACGTAGAGAGTCATATGTTGTGCTCACAGACAGGGGTACTATGCCTGAGGAACCCAAGAAAGGCCAAAGTTCAAACAGTGGCATATGATTTTTGAAAGGTTATTCGAAGTTACGACCGAAATTGTAACTTGGACCGGGTCTTCCATATGGTCCAGCATGGTCAACTCGCATGGTCAACTCGCGGATCTCAGCAGGACCAACTTCTGTGTCGTCAGTAACCGGTAATAGCGGGGCAATAGGAAATCCTAAGCGTCTAGCTGCATCATGGTTCAAAGTGCGGGTCTCTGTTGCCAAGTTCATCGAAGTGCAGATAGGTAGACACCGACTCACAATACGGCGGTGAATTCATCCTAGGTCAAATCCGTGAAAAGTTTGAAATCCATACTGAGTTCGCCTTAACCAGGAAGGCGAGAACCAAAGAGTAACTAATTGATAGGGGAGGAGGAAGAGTGCTCATCATCATCAAGCTGCGATGTTCCAGAATGTATGCATTAGCAACTTGACAATACGTTCAGTATCCTCCATACATGAAGGTCTTCCGCCATCTCGAGACCATAGTTAGTTGGAGTAAACGCAACGCATTGGTGAGGCTTGTAATGAGGTTGGTGGTTGGTACCTTTTTCTTTGAAGAATCTAACTCTAGTGAAAGTTCATTTCGCCGGAGAGTCACAGCATCGGGAAAAGAGATTGGGAATCAGCTTAACCAGCTCAGAATTGTGTACCATTGTCCTGAGATGTTCAATCGATGGATGGAAGCTCCTAAACAAGGTTTTCCAGGAACAGTTACCGTGTCTTCATGCATTAGGATTAGGAACAGGAACAAGATACTAGATAGCCAATCATTGTCCAGATGAATCGAATATATAGACGAACGAAATTGGACTTTGTCAAGAGATGTTGGACTTTGTCAAGAGATGTGTGTTGTCAAATTCCCACCCATGAATGGACAGTAAGTAAAATACTTCGCATCCCACACGATACGGAAAGAAGGGTGTGAGAATAATTCTGACGTCGTTATTCGTGTGGAACTGGATAAGGCAACCGATGATGGTGGGACAGAGAAGGTGAATCGCATAAGTGCTTTATTAAATACCACTTTTCATCTGGGGAGACAGCATAACCACCGTGGATTGTCGTGAAGGTCCCAAGTTGCCGCGAAGGAAGACAGACAAACCCATCCTCTTTCTTGGATGTCATACATGTGGCATTCGGCGCCCAGGATTTCGAAAGCCACACGGCCAGTTCTTCGTCGCACGGGGTTCGAGAAAAATGGGCACACTGGAACGAAGGAAAGAATAGACGACTACACGTGGACGCGTGACGCGTCGGTATTGCGGCGCTACCTTGCGCTTCTGCTTCTCTCAAACCACGACATGCCCGACGAGGGGCTAAGGAAACGCAAAACAAAGTCCAAGGAAGAAGAAGCTTCCAAAAATGACACTGTTGGTTCTTCTTTTCTCTTCCCTGGGCCTCTCTCATCACAAAGTAAATACAGGCCAGCGAACCGGAATTCGACATAGACAGTGCTGCTTTACTGCAATACCTCAAAATTCTGTGGATACCTCTCATTCTATGCTTCGGAATATTTATATACTTTGTCAGTTGGTTCCGAGCTTGGATAACTAACCTAGAGGCTAATACAAGCCATTAGAATCCTTCAACCCTTTCAGATATTGCCAGCTTCTGGATTGACTCTAATGACTGGCATTCATCTCCTGGAACAAGTGCTGCGAGCTTTGTAGGATTCGAACCGGATGTCGAAAAGAGAGATGCTGTAGTGGAAGCATTCAAGGTGTGTTTCGAGTATTATTCTAATTCAACGAGTTTATTAACGTTTTGCTTTTGTAGCACGCCTGGCGCGCTTATGGTGCGTACAATCTACTATCAGATGTTATTTGGTTAGCGTGTGCGAGCTGATTATAGAAAGGGATGCAATGGGAGACGATGAATACCACCCTATCAGCCGGAAGGGGTCAAATTTGACGAACGCAGGAGGAATTGGTTACACAGTTATCGACTCTATTGATACCATGTTAATCATGGGCCTCGAGGATGACTACGCCAGGGCAAGGAAATGGGTGGAAAACAACTTGTCGTTCGACCAAGACGCAAACTTTAATACTTTCGAGGTGAGCTGTGATTTTATCTGCAGTTTACAATCATCTCAAATTTGATAGACTACTATCCGTGTTCTCGGCGGTCTGCTCTCGGCGTACGAACTCACTGGCCACGATAAACTCTATCTCGACCGCGCAGTAGAACTAGCTGACCGTATGCTTCCTGTTTTCGACACCGAATCAGGGCTTCCCCTACCCAACATCAATCTCGCTCAACGAAAAGGCGTCCCAGACCCAGACCTTCCCTTTCTCGTCAGCACCGCAGAGGTCTCGACGTTGCAACTCGAGTTCAGATATCTCAGTTACTTGACGGAGGAAGAAACATACTGGGAAAAGGTCGAAGCGGTGCGTTCATACGGTGCACGTTCATTGTGTGAGACTGACCAAAATGCAGGTTATGAAAACCATCAAAGAGCATCGGATGCCACACGGACTTGCTTCGATCTACTTGCAGTGCATATTCCCGCTTTTGTTTATAGAAAGCAGCCTGCTTATTGAACCTTATCAGCGCACAGACTGGTCAATTCGTTCCTTCTGCCATTCGATTGGGTTCCCGTGGTGATTCATACTATGAGTATCTATTGTGAGCACTGTCCTGCCTTTCGACTCTTCCGTTCTAATCTATGCCGTAGAAAACAATATATACAAACTGTAAGTTCGTTCGACCCTCGAATACCAAGCGTCTGTTCACAATGACTCTCAGAATCAAACGGAAAATGTTTATCGGGAGGTGAGTACGCGGCATAAGCGGCTCGTTTAAAAATATCTTACATTCATTGTGCAGATGTACGACGACGCAATGAACGCCGTCCACGGAAATCTCATCTCCAAGAGTCCCTACTCGCGCATGACTTACACCTCGGAGCTCATTCCAGGAACGACATGGAGACGGACAGCTGTTCGTGACATTTCCGTACTTGGTTCAGTTGAAATGAATCTAAAATCTCTCTCTCTCTCACACACAGATCCTGGCGACTCACACCAAAACAAGATCATCCAGTTTGCTTTTCCGGTGGCTCACTCATGCTAGGAGCAACCATCACCGGCGCCGCTGTTCTTCCTGTATCCATCCCGCCTCGACAGTCGGAATTCATGGACCATGGAAAAAAGGATTGGAAAACCGGAGTCGAGCTAGTCAGGTCTTGTGTGGATACACACGATACTAAGACGTGCGTTAACGTTTGGCATTCTTCGTTTAACTGCTAACAGTGATGGATTTCTAGTGGACTTTCGCCTGAAATTGTGCACTTTCGTATCCCTTCAGACGCTGGTGTAATGGACACATTTCATTCCTCGTCGGGTGCTCCCGCTGATTGGTATATCAAAGGCGCTCGGTGGGTTTTTTTTTTTTTGCTTTTTCTCCTGATGGGTCTAGAAACGGTGTAACTGACGCGCTTTTTTTCCGTTATAGCCCAGGTGAACCAGCTCCGTACGATGCAAGATATATTCTTCGGTGCGTGCTTTCATTGCTCGAGTATCATACATTCTCTAAATCTCAACGCTTTCACAGACCAGAGACCGTAGAGTCGCTCTTCTTGGCCTTCCGCCTTACTGGAGACAACCGTTACAGGGATTGGGGTTGGGATATATTCCAAGCAATTGAGAAGCACTGTAAAGTCCAGACCGGTGGATATGCGAGTATCATTAATGTGGATGAGGTACCGGCAGAGCAAGAGGATAAGATGGAGACGTTCTTAATGGTAAGAGTTCTGATTCTTTTCAGCTATGAACGCAGATGCCTCATGTCATTGATGATTCAGAGCGAAACATTGAAGTATCTGTTCCTTCTGTTTCGAGGACGCGAGCGTGT